AGAGAGAGAGCGAGAGAGAGAGAGAGAGAGAGAGAGAGAGAGAGAGAGAGAGAGAGAGAGAGAGCAGTGTGGTGAGTTACAGTTTTGAGTGGAACATAGGGAGGAAAAAAAGGAAGGGGGGACGAGAGCGAGATAGATATACGAAATATCTTATAAGCTTTCAAAATAGTCAGTTTGCTGGTAATCTGGGAGAGGTTGGGAACCAATCAATCCTGCACTTGCTCCTACCCATCCAGCAATTATTGATACTGGGTCAATCTACCAGTATGTCGTCTATTCTGCGTTTGGGCTTCTTTTGGGCGGTCAACCACAACTTGTGTGGGGGGTTAACTTTCGGACATGACAGGGGCCGGGCGCTAGGTTCAGTGACCGTAYGAGAGGTAGTCTAGGTCAAATCCTTATTAAAACTTGCAGGTATAACTGCAGGTGATTAATGTGGAGTGCAGACCTAGATATGTAACTATTGTAAACAAAAATTATTATTTGGCTAAGTAGCACAACTGGCCGTGCTAATGAGCAGAAGAGGTACAAGAAGCATCTAGCTTCTTGTGATGTTCGTTGTACCAATCCGGTAGTCAGGGCTTAGTCTGCGACAGACCCTCTTCCATGAGTCCTCTGATGTTGCCGATTCATCGGCAAGCGTTGTTTGATCACTTGATGTTCGGAGCAGTGAGGATTCAGCACTGCGACACTGCTGGCACCATAGTTGAATCTGAGAGCTTCGATAGCAGAGCCAGGTTGTAGCGGTGTGTCAGGGGATGGGGAGCTGATTATGATGGGCAGGTGTTGGCGATCCCCGTCGTTGATCTTGTTGCTGCTGACCTTGATGATTTTTGGGTTTCCTTGTACTTCTCCTTGGGTAGGGATTGCAGCGTCGTTGAACCTGTGCGTCCATTGCTGCAGCAGCAGGTGCTCGCCTGGTGGGAGCCATGTGTGTGGCGGGGGGGTGGCGGCGGCTGTCGTGGCCTCTCTTGCGTTGGTAGTGGCGGTGGGTGGGCGATTGGGAGCTG